TTACTTATTATATAATCTTTGTCTCGCATTCAGAGCACGATCGATAAATTCCTTCTGACGGGATTCGTCGGTTTCTCCTCGTCATTAAAACTTGCAGCAAGAACGAAACCTTCTTACGGCAGCGATTAATGTACAGTGAATGTGTGCCTAATATCTCTTAGTAATAGTTTAAGACGTTCGCCAAGATGGAGAGAGGAAAAAAGAGCGAGAGAAGGAAGGAGAGAAAAACCTCGGGCATATAATTTCTTCTCGCGCGAGAACTTTAGAGTTTGCGAATATGGCGCATTAACTCAAGTGGTGGTTCGTTGTGAAATAATCGACGACTACTGAAACTCGAGCATGTATACATGTGACAGTCCCGTTAATCTTCATCCGTATCCTTAATCTCGTAAATAGCTGGGGCGCGACTTCGTTGACGTTTGGTCGGCGCCACCGCGAAACGCGTCAGCATTACATTTATGTGTTTCACATTTTACACTTTCGCGAATAACGCGGATGCGCACTCTTTTGTTACTTAACGCGCGACACCATTATATCGTTTGGTACCGGCCGTTAAATCGGTCGGCCACGAACAATCATCGTTCTTAAGCCGGTCACGATCGCGGTCATTTCCTCCTCGTCGAAACGATCCTTGGCCCATCCTTTCCATCTTCGTTCCGACGGGAAACGAATGAGTCGCTCACAATTCCAGTCGCGTATCGACCAAAGCTCATTACGACATTACTCGTGCGTCAACGTCGGCATAACGATTAATTCTTTCTTTGTTATCGTGGTACAAGTTACCTGCATAGGTACTGCACAAGGTTGCTGAACATTCTGTTACCTATTTACATTATTTTCAGATTAATCTTGAGATTTTTAAGCTTTTTTAAGCTTAAGTACTAATTAAATATATAATTAAGTGTTCAGTAACTATAACTATAACTATATTTCTTAAACTTAGGCACTAATTAACTGTATAATTATTTATAGAATTTTAGTATAATAATAATTATTTTTTATTTTTCTACAATATTTGTGCATTTTGCGTACCTATATATTTGACAATAATATATATTTAATATTTTATATGTACACTGCGTCTTAGATTTTAGCAACGAAAAAGTTGAACATTTTACTTGTGCATTTATTTAGATAGAGAAGAATGATGTTGATTTCTGAAATTTTTATCTACTTGCTTATTGAATTTAATATTATTTTAAGATAAAAATTACGTGGGAGATTTTTAATAAGTATTTTACATTAGTGTAATATTAAGATATTTCACATTTTTTTATCACTTGTAATTATTTTTTTCTAAGTTTTAATTTATAATTAATTTTGTAACTAAAATTTGCTATTTATGTTATTTTAATCATGTTTAATTATTTATATATCTCTTTATTAGAGATGGACCGAGATAATGAATGAAACATCGCTGTAAATGATGAATAAATTTTTTTATCGTAAGTAAACCTGAGAAACATAAAAATTATATTATTATAATAAAAGAAAATTGATAAATTGTTCAGAAAAGATTTATGTTTTTATTTATTTTAAAATAATGTATGGATTTATTTATTTTATTTATTTTATTTATATTTATTTATTTTAAAATAATGTATTTTGAAAAACAGAAAATATTTATATGATAATAAATTAGAAGACATGTCTAAACATGTTACAAAAAATGTTTAAGAAAGAAAATATAAAAATATAATTTTAAACTAAATATGTATATATGATAAAAAAGAAGATATTAATCAAGTAGATGAAATAATTAGATGAAGTAGCAAGAATAAATCAAGAAAGCATTTGCTATCAAACAATTATTGTAAAACAAATCTATTATAGCAAATAGATGAATATAAGTTTTATGTAATAAATCAATTCTTAGCTACTCTCTTGTAATACGGAAGCGATTAAGTCTGATCTCCCAAGAATTACTAAAAGCATCTTGTTTTCTTGTTTGTCCTTTCTAATTAATACCTACACGTATATCTATGACTATGACGTACGTCATCGTATCCATTATTCCAATCACGCGTTTGGTTTCGATATCCTGCCATTTATGGTAACATTACGACAACGAATTTCAGTTGAAAGTGCAACCGACGAGCGTGCGTTGCGTGTATCATGTGCATGCAATATATATACGGTGCACTGTAATACACGACATCTCGAAAATTACATACGATCTCTTACCACGTAACAACAGTAAGAACTTCCGTGTAGTCGTTATCAAGATCGCTCGGCTTATATCGCAAAGTTGCTGGACCAAGGTAGCAATTATATATATTTTTCGTGAAATCTTGCAAGAAATCTACTAGTCGGAAACATTGTGTTTCACATCGTCCTATATTAGATACAAAAATAAAATTTTAATACTTGGTTTCTATTTTCCTAAAAAATTGGAAATTTATTTTTCAATGTAAATATTTCTGTTCTATTTTTGTCTTCTGAAAATTACAACAAATTAATCTCTTTCTCCTTGGAATAAAATTAAAATGTTAAAATTCCATATTAGAAATTTAAAATGCCTATTTTATGGTCGAAGCTGGATCTTCTTTTGCTTTTAAATAATTCAATCTTGAATTACTAATTTATACTATGTATGTATTTACATATATACCATATTGTTTTTTCAAATTGCGAATTGTTTTTTCAAATTGCGAATTGTTTTTCCGGACTATAAACGCAATTAAAATTCTATTCTAATAATCGCGAATTAAATTGACAATTTTAATAATTTAATGCTACAATCAAACATCACATTATAAAAATGTTAATATATTGAAAAACCGTTAATAAATTTATTACGAAAAATATCTCGGACAAGGTAATATTTTTTTATACACAATGATCAGGAAAGAATAAAATCGACATTAAATAACATTAAAAATTAATACTATTTCCATAATAAATGCTTATACTTATTAAGCGTTGTTTGAAAAAGTTTAACTTCAAAATAATAATTTTTATAATAAAATTTTATTACTGAGTTCACTTAATAAATAATATTTGTACTAAATTTCATACTGTAATGTTAAAATTACTAAGACATTACAATAATATTGCTTATAAGCATATTATACTTATAATAGTACTTAATAATACTTAATAAATTAAATGAAATTTTATAAAGTTTTGCAAAGAGATCGATAACATTGACTGTTATTATGATGAAGTATGCAAATACCTTTCCCTATAAAATATAGAATAGGAAAATGAAATTAAAAGAATAGAAGACACACACCTAATTGCATACCGATGTTATTTTACGAGTTTATAATTCACTCAGTGCTGCTAATATAATTCACCAACATTAAATTATGCACGGCGAACGTGGTTGGCTTAAATTTGTCGCGTAGAAAGTTTAGCGAAAAGCGTGATAGTAATCACAATGGTCGAAATCACTAATCTAGACATACAATCTAAGATTGAAATTGCACATCAGGGAATGAAAAAGATATGAGACTTTACTTCTTCAAATACGAAACAAAATAACAATAGATAATTCCTATCTAGTAGAAATTAATCGTCCAAATTGATCACCTCTGCTTTTAGATATTAAATCGTTAAATTGATCATCCCATCTATCGCTTCATTTCTACTGCTTCTTATAGAAATTAATTTAATTCTCTAAATTGTGATAATTCTGTTCAGTGCGATGAAAAATGTTTCCAAGAACTGCTACAGAAAATTACTTTATTCTTACGAAATGTTTTATTGATTGTTGCAGATATCAAAATGGGTTGTTTCGGAAGCAAAGACAAGTTGAGCAAAGAAGATATGGACTTCCTCAAGTCGCATACGCGATATGATGAAGCGACTATAAAGGAATGGTACAAAGGTTTTAAAGTAAGTATTGAAGATATTACTGGATAAATTATGAATCAAGAATTAGATCGAATTTATTATAAACCGTTAATCTTTTTGGTTGCATATATTTCACAGCGACCTCAATTTCGCTCCGTGTATTCTCACCGTAATTGCATACTTTTCCTATGATATATTACAACGGTGACAATAAAAGACGTTTAAACAAATGCTTTGTTGGGAAATGAAAATTTTCGCACAAACTCCAGCGTTGAAAAAACAGTTTCTAGAGAGTTTCACATTTATTTGCATTACCTATTATTAGAATTCTTAAATCATTTAATATTTCCATTATTTTTCTGTGCATAATAAGCATGAAGATAATGCGAATACGAGCGTGATGGAAAGATCTAGAGAAGAAATTGCAAATATAATTTCTCTCTAACTTTTTCTAAAAACTTTTTCTAATACTGAATAGAATTTTAAAGTAATTTCTTATACATGATAAATGAATTATATGATAATATTTCATTGCATTATTAATAATTCTATCTAATTATCTTTATTATATATTAATTTACTAATTTATTTTTAAATATTTTTAATCACGTCTTAATATAGTTTTTCGTGATTACAAATATTTTTTTAAACATGCAGTGCATATGTCATGTGATAAAATAAAATATTAATGAAAGAAATTTTTGCATTGATCTATTATAAAAATTTTGTAACACAAATATAAATGCGCTTTTATAGAGCCATAAAGTTTCATTAAAAATGAAAACGTACATAAAGAAGGAGAATATAAAAAAACATATAATAAATTTAGTTTCTAAATATTCTGAAAAAATTGAATGAGGATATCTCATTCAATTTTCTGATGTCTTAAAAAAGAGCGATAATTATTATTAATGGTGCTAGTTCAGCGTAACATTATATTAAAAAAAAAATTTACAAATCAGTAATTTATTTAGTAAAATCTGTATAAATATATGAATAAAATTGATCAAATTCATTAATAAATGTTGTCATGTCACATGTATATTTGTAACACGTGTCAGTTAGAATCAATACACAGCCACTCGCAATTATGACATGTAAAATACGCTGCGATATTTTCACAAACATGCGCGGCCAAACACGAAATTGTATATCTCTTTTCTTCGCAAAGAAGCAGAGAGAGTAGTTATACGAAATTATACGAAGATTTAAGGTTATGAAATTGCATAAATAAGAATTTGCGGTTATTATAACATATTTTAACAAAAAATCTGTTTATCCGTAGTTTATTCCATCTGGAAAATATGAAACTTAATTTAAGTGTAACGACGTTTTACAAATTTTTAATTAGATGCATTTTATAAATATAAATTTATATTAATATATGAATATTTATAAATATTTATAAATATAAATTTAAATATGAATTTGAGTTATATACACATAAATGCAAAGTATTCGATGATGTTATTGTTAATACTATTTGTCTCATTATATTGTGTAATGCTTTATCACATTTTATTAATAATTAAAAATTAAAATGTAGTATGATTAATGTAGCATAATTAATAGTGATATCTTTATATCACTGTGATATTTTATCATCCAATATTAATATGTTATTTACCTAATAAAAAAATAATCGTTTGAGACGAAGCTAATTATCGACGATATCGTTCGTTTATATGTTATTATATGGCAAATATTAATTTATTTCTCACATATTCGACGCGTATAAATAAATCACGTTGACGCAATGAGTTTCATAATTTACGTTTTAAATATTCAGTATATTGAGATATGATATACGTGCGACAAATTTAATATTTAGTTATCGACATATAGATCATTATTAGATCTAACTAGAACATTATTATCTTAGCGCACATTATATCATTCGCACAATAACATGTCTATATATAATTTACAATACAGCATACAATATTTATTTAGTTTGAAACTACCTTTATAATATTATGCTTATAATTCCATACAATTACACATACGCTGTCAACATTCGTTGTTTTGTCATTATGAGTAATTATCGCAATTTGATGCGAATGCATATGTGAAATAACGAATATTATGTAGACTATCAGACAATTTACCTACAAGTGTCTTTCGAATCTGAACTTAGAGCTGATTAATTTTCAAGTACTAACATATGATACCAAGTTTATAAATACGTTAGAAAGTATCGTTAACAATATTTCAAGCATTCTTGTAAGATGTTTAAATCAAATCAATCTATATTATGAGAATTCGCCCAAGCTACGACGCAGAATTATTTATCAGGAACAAGATGTGACGTTTTCGCGAAAGCTGCTAGTGCCGCAGAAAAGTTACTTTCTCGAACAGCTTAAACGGGTGCGGATCCGAAGGAGCTCGTGGCGACCGGACTAATTAAACTAAGCAGAATCATTATAATGGACGTTCCGCAATCTAGTCGCGTTTCACAGCTGCTCATTGCCCGCTTCCTCTCGTGCGATTTGCAATGAATCTCACATATGACTTCATTGAGTCTATGGATTGAAATAAATGAAAACTGATTACCGCGCATCGACCTTGGCGAAGAAGCGCGGTCGAAGGAGATTGAAAAATATATCATGCGGAAGAGGAGGCGTCGTTTGCTTCTTTTTAAAAATGAGACGAACGGCACTAGATTAAGGCCAATCTGATACGAGGGGAGCGATGATACTTAAACGACGTAATTTTTTTTCTCGGGATCCCATATCTTGCGCTCAAGCGGCAAGACTGGTATAGGTATATTCTGCGATCAATAAAATTCACTATGCGGATGAAAGTCAAATCGGTTAACTTAGATATATACGATATAATTTTAGTAAAGTATTTTTATTCAGATTTAATATATATCTCTATATTTAATATATCTTACGCTTAAATACATGAAGAACGTACGACACAAATATATACTCTTCTTACTTGGTATACGTAAGTGCTATTTTTGTTGACATAAATTTAGTTATTACTCAAGGTATAACAACATTTTGAGCAACTTATTTTCTACATTACTATGACGTGTTTAATTTTCCTATTTTCAAAAACAAAATTTTAATGTATTTCTATAATTTAATGTATCTCTATAAAAAAAAAACCATTGATAGTTAAATGATAAAAAAATTAAAATTGTGAAAAGTGCAATACAAAAATAAAGAATTGTGAAAATGTCATGCAGTAATTAACGCAGTGCGATAAAAATTTAACTTGCGTACTGTAACTTATAATTATATTATTCCAACTAATGTATAATTATATTGTATATTTTAGGAAAGAAAAAAGGACAAAGATACAATAAAAGTATTGAGCTATTATCGCACATTTATAGATATACTTAAAGAGAGACAAATAGGTCAATAGATGGGAACAAAGAAAAGTAGTCCAATAATTATATTAGAATAGAAATGCATTACACATACGTAATATAGAAAATAATAAACTAACTCGAGAATTCACGGTCTTGTGTTCTTTCGAATGTTACAGCAAGACTGTCCTAATGGCAGGTTAACGCCGGCGAAATTTGTTGACATGTACAAAATGTTCTTCCCGTCCGGTAACGCGGAAGAATTCTGTGATCACGTGTTCCGCACATTCGACATGGACAAGAATGGTTACATCGACTTTAAGGTGAGTCCCGCAAGTATTTTACGACAATTGGCACAAACTGCTGTAATGAACCATGTAATAACTACCGTGCTCTCGATGGATCCTCCAAAGAAGTACGTGTCGCGCCACGTACTTGTCGTACATCGATTATTCCACGTGATTAAACATAATCGCGACAAAATCTACTCGCCTGAGCGACTCAAAGAAGTGCGTTATAGTCGCCGCAATACTTTCATCGCGAAGAGAAGATTGCACTTTTATGACATGAAAATATCGTTCGCATGAATTTACGTCAACTGACCGCGCGAGACGGGAAGTTTGAATATCGTTTGAATCGGAAATTTATCGAGAACTGAAATCTATATACAGTGAGAAGAAACGATTGGTCAACAATGTGTAAAAACGGTAAAATGATGTACTAAGACACAAAAGATTTCCATCTTGGCATGGAAGCGCGCAAAGGAACGTGAGCAGTGTTATATCCGATTATACGCTCGACAAATGCGACGACATAAATCTTTTCTGAGACTTCAAATCGCGTATTCCTTCCTATTCGGTTATCCGTGATTGTGAATTTATGTTCTTTATAATCCGCGTAAGTCGCATTAATAATACATTATTCATACGACACAATGTATTACAGCCAAGCTCTTCATCACTATTCGTGGTGAACCTTCTCGCTCCGTAGCTTCATAACTGCCTTGACTTGACTCGAAAACCTCCAAGAGAAGTCCCTCATGTCACACATGGTTTCCGTTTGTAAGCACAGCGAGCGAATATTCTCGTTCGTTATCTTGGTATGCTAATCGGTAATTTAATATAGTTCGCCAAAGGTGCGACGAGTCGTGTTTGCCTGCCGACGAATAGCTATTTGATATCTGACCCGAATACGCCGGATAAAACCCCAAGCTTTGTCTAACGTCGTGCTTTGTAAGGTGATCTCGCATCGCTGATCAAAGCTATCTTAGAGGAACTATATAATTTGCCATAGAAAGGCATTCTTCGGATGTAAATGACATATGACTTTTTTTAACTATTTCACCGTGTCAAGAATCATCTTGCCTTGTTCTTATCTCACCCGTCGCTGTATTTTTAATTTTCAAGAAAGCGTCATTCTTGAAGTGATCCTTATAATAAATTATAACATTTATTAACATATTAATATTCTTATTATAATGTTTTTATCTTTTAAAGATATTTTAAAGAGGATAATAAAAAAATAATATGAGTAGACGCATATATAAAATATATAAAAGCATACATGAAAAGTAAAGAAAAGTGTAATATAGTAACTTTATTGAATTGATATATGTATAATTACAAAAGGATTTAAAAATAACATTTGTATTTATTTTTATATTATTGCAACAAACATTGAAAGAAAATATCGTGATATACACATTACAGCCATTTTCTTCCATGTCCCTAATATATATATATATACTAAAGATAAAATAAATAAAAGAGAAAAGCGAGAGAGAAAATTACTTGTAATGTATATACTTTGAAATGTTATTAGAAATTCTATGTTCAGGTTAATATAATATTCGGATTAATATAACATGTACGAATAAATATATATTAAAAATCTTAATATTCTCTGCAATAATTGTACATACCGCGATTAATTTAATTTTTCACATTAATATTATTATATTATTAAAAAGTAATATAATACAGTAATATAATATTATTTATCTCTTTTGTGAAACATATTGAAAAAAACGTTAAAAGATGTTACTATACTAGATTTTGGCAAAAATGTAATCAGAGATATTTGATGAGGACATTGAAGTGTTTTATAAGATTAATATGTTGTATAAAATTTCATTTCCTGTCTTTATATCATGTTGCATGTTGTAGCAACTAATCGTCTGCTCAGCGAATGCGTTTCTTCTAACAAAATTATTGTGGAGCAAGCTAACTTCAAGATGTCTTTTATGCAAACTTTCATGTTAATTTATAAATTATTCATTCACTTAAATCAAGGCCCTTATTTATAAATATTGTGATATATGCTTATAATAAATCATTTATATTTTATTTTATCGAAAAGTTTTACGTAACATAAGATTCTATCTAACATTTAACGATATAATATAATTATACACATTTGATTATATTTCATTTCAATAATAAAAATTTTATGAAAAATTATTATTTCACATCTCAATATTGAATATTATGAGAATTAGTTTTTAATTTAAAGTTTTACAAAAATAAAATCCTTTTGTAATTAATCGAAATACGAAGTTATCTATTCACAAATTAATTGTAAGTGAAATATGGGATTTCTTATCAAAGGTGATTATTAAAGGTGATTTATTAAAACTAATTGAAATGTAAAGTTTGGTATTACTTGAAACTAATCAAAATACTAAGTTTATTATATATTTACATTTATAAAGCTTAACTGCGAAAATTATCAAGGTATTAAATTACCACAGCTTGCTTCTGTTATAAACTTTCTGAATGAAAAACAGACATCTGCTTCCAATTCCTTCATTAAAATTTTATTCGAATGCAAATAGTAGAAAAGAGAAAGAGAGACTATATTTGACGTAAATTATTCAAAATGAGAATACGTAGAATGATTGTAATTTTACAAATTATATCTTATGTACGAAAGTACAATGATTAGAATTGCTTTGTTTTTATATAGAACATTGCAGAAATAACAACAAACTATAGACAATAAATTATTGTTCATTGTTTTAGAAGTAATATTGAACATGTTAAAACAAACTAATCTATGTTCCAAATCACGAATATACTAACTTCGTCCAAGCAGTCCATCGATGCGGACGTTTAATACCCGGCCAGTTGCAATCTGCCTCGCGCCTGTATCTCGTGGTCATGCAACACTTAAGAAATTTCGCGTTGAAATGACAAAGTTTCGCCGGAGTTTCATCGATATGTAAGCTCTATTGTAACTTCATCGCGAGCCGAAGTTCTGTTTATGTGCAGCACATATATACGCTCACGTAAGCTCTAAACGATTATTATTCCGATATTAAGTAAATCTGCAATGAGACGTGATTTCTCGCGCAATTGCATTGTGTCGCTTCAAATAATATCGCAACATTTGAATAGTATCGGTAAAAGTATAAACATTTGCAGCCTTCAGCGTAAGCTGAAAATATACGAGCTTTATCGATAAGCCGAGACACTCGAACCAAACATTGGTAGTCTGTATTCGATTCTTATTATCCTATCGAGATGAATAGTTCTCTATATATAATATAAAAATCCACTCTTTTTTTTGTGGATATTTTCTCCTTCTCCCATCATGTTCCCTATGGATATAATAACATCAGATTCCTTGTTATTTATTTTTCTTCGAGGAAAATCCAACAAAGTCGTCGACTGAATTTGACTTTCGATATCATCTAAATGAGAAAAATTTCTCTTTATGGTATAAAGTCTTCCAGAATATCGTTGATAATAAGCAATTATAATAAGATGAAATTCATGGAAAGAATGTATGTATATCTCTTTTTCAGCGAGATAGGTTTTATAGCGTTGTTCGACATTATGAAGTTAATCGTGATGAATTGAAACCGAAAATTAATCTCTTATTTATTATATTTATTTTCTTATTTGTTAATTGTAAATATTTTTTATTAAATGCGAGAGAGAGAGAGAGAGAGAGAGAGAGAGAGAGAGAGAGAGAGTTGGTCTTTCCTTTTGTCTCTTTAAAAAGCAACTTGAAGAATATCTAAAATGGCTATTCTTTATATATTTTATATGCATTTATATGTATACTTTTTATATATTTTTTAACTTCCGCAAATACATTTTACGTAATGTTTTCACATAAATTTTAAGTTTATTTCATTAATTTTATTTTTACGCTTTAGATGCAACAATTATTTCAATTAAGAATTTATAATTTTTAAATTAAGTCTAGATAATTACGAAGAGTTAATAATAACATATTAATAGAATTAATAATAACAATAACAAATTGGAATAAACGAATATGCGATCTTGTTTAAATAATATAAGACTACAAGGTTGTCCTTATAATTTCCTTAAAAGTGCGAACGATTTAAAATTTTTGCATAAATCTAAAATATATATGTATATACAAATATATGTTAATATATTTTTTGTTTTTGAAAATATTTTGTATATTGTTCGACGACAAACTTTCTCTAATTAAACTTCAACAACTTTCGCGGAGAGGGAGTAATGAACTAATTCAAGCAGTTCGCACATTGAAAAGCCATTAGAGATTTAGCTAGAACTTCCGGCAATTTAAATTTATTTCTCGAACAATTCCGACGGAACGGTGATAAATGACGGACGGGTCAGCTATTTCAGCATTCTTGCAACTTCTCTTACTTTTCTTATTTAGAAGAACTCAGATTCCGTTTACATTTATCGTCTTTTCTTTGGACTGAAATCTCAGGAATCGAAAACAGCTCATTCTGCATAAACAGTGCTTTGCACTCGTTCAGTGTATCCTAATATATTACGAGTGACATGACAAATATTCTTCAAAGTCAAGACGTTGATATATTCTTCTTTGTGAGGGGATTTATATGGTATCTTCTGTATACTTCCATCGGAAGTTACTCGAACGGTATCAAACGATATTAAATACATGCACAATGTTTCACGTATAACACACAAAAAAAAGATATTTTTTAATTTTAAATATCGTTTGGCTTTTTGTTGTATTAAAGTATAATCTTTTTTAAAAAAGATTAAATCAATTCATGATAAAAGATATATAAAAGACAATAACAAAATTATTCAATATGCGAAATTTAAGTTTTATTTATTTATTATCATTCTTCAATGTATTAATGTATTAATATATTATAAATTAATGTTATTTGAATAAAAAGTTTTAATTTATTTACATATTATCTTACTTATGAAAAATGTGTTACATATTTTGACAAGTTTGTTGTTTCTTTTGAAACTATTAAAATATTCGACATCGAACAAATTTCGATTAAAAGCAAAGAAAGCAACATATCCTACATATCTTATGTATGTACAAATGTGTA